TCTCTGTGAGTAGTGCTATTTTCATGTGTTCAATTAAAACAGTATTCCACCAGTCACTAAATCCAATGGCAGAAAAGCGGGATGTTGAAGGTTTACATGCAAAAAGTTTGCAAACAAAACAGTACACAGACCCTGTTGATGGTGAATACAGTAGCCATTCTCAAGTGTATTTCTCACCATTCGCTTTCATGCCGAAAAATGTTTTTTGTGGACAATATCTTGTTTAATTGCCATTGGTAAAAGTCCAATGTGATTTGTCAAATGGCCCAGTGTGGTCATTTGATCCACGATCTATCCAGTAAGCTACATCATCGGTACTGAAATCAACCCACATACCAGAATCTTTTCTCCTATTATTTACAGTATGAGCAGGTTCAGTCTCTGACACATCCACACCTTCTAGAAGAATGTCTGTTTTACCACCAGGAGTAGGATGATCAGTTACAGTCTCTGATTTCCTCGCATTATTTTGATCTATGTTAGTAGGACACCCCCCTGGTTTAGGTGGGGATAAGTAATAAAAAGAGAACAGAAAACAGGGGAAGAGTGTGTAGTGAAGTCTAAGGAAGTCTAACAAAGTTCTGATTTTTCCCATGATGACTACTTCAATGCTTTTTTTGAAATATCAAATATATATATTTTTTTAAATCTCTTTTTTTTTTGGTGTCCCTGCTTTGCTGGTGTCCTAAGCACATGCTTAGTCTGCCTATTGGGTAATCCAGCCCTAACACTCTCCCAAGTAACCCAATAGTAAAATGCAAGTAATGCTGCCTCAGAAGGGTGTTATGATACTTAATTAGCTATCAATTATACAGTATGTTCTATAGACATAAGATGATAAAAGTGCTGTGCAATATTATCTTTATCTGGCTTCCCTACAACATAACACTGCCATACATGCAAATAAGTGGCTTGTGCAGCAAAATAGGAGATGTAAAATCTTCACTGATTTTGACTGACTATGTTAGTGGAGCTTCTGTAATTGTGATGGAAAGGAAAAGCAGCAAATATCTAGTGCCACAGAATCTTTAGGGCTAGCCCTGTCTTTATATTATTTGTCTGTTTGGAATATGTAGTAGTAGTAATACATAGTTTTGTTTTTTTCTATGTAGCACTTTTCATCAGTAGATCTCAAAGTGCATTACAAAAAAGGTTGCTATCATCCTAATTTTTTTCAGATGGGGAAACTGAGGCAAAGAGGTGTAGTTACTTGCAAATGTAGACCAGCTGGAAAGCAGGCAATATATCTTGTCTCCTGAGTCCCAGTCCAGTGTTCTATCCATTGGCCCACACTGTCTATCTGGCCAAGATTTGACTGCACATGTTCTATCCACACATCCATTATAGCAGAGGCTTTCAACTGGTACAAATATGGTACAACTTCATCAATATGATATTTTTCCTCAAAATTTTTTCTGCACTATGAGATAAGACTGTGATATCACTCAAGGGGGTCACCATTGTAGACCGTTTCCCTAGGGTTTGATCCTATTGTCACAGTTCAGGGCAACTCCTCCATAATCCCTCAAGGGCACCCACTCTAGACTCTTGGCTCCTTAGCCCTCTCCTTCCTGTCCTGAGTTTTGCAGGCTGTGCAGTTCACTACCAACACAGTGATCTCCCCAGCAAGCCAGACCTGCCTCAAAGGCCAGCCTCTGTGTTTTGCTTTCTCTCTGAAGGCTATAAACAGTGTAACTGCCCACAGTTGTAAGTTACGACACAACCCTTTCTAAGCAAGCACACATTTATTCTTAAGGTGAAAGCATCACAGAGAAAACATTTAAAAAAAAGAGTACCTACATACATGCTAAAAAGCTTACCAGAGGTACCCAGCTCCAACTTTGGGCTTTGAGGGTATTAGCCCTTCAAAACCTACAAGATCATAACTGTCTCAGATTGAGAACCAGAACAACCATGAATTCTTCATTCTTTCCTTTTATAGAGCTTGGGCCTTTGATTTTGACCTCTGATAATAGGTGATCTGTAGACAACTCCTTTGGGTGTAAGTATAAAAGGCTGGGTTTTGGTATAACCAAAGGTGGGAAATGGGTATCTACCTCCCTCTAAAGCAATAGTTCTCAACCTATTTACCTTTGTGGGCTGCATCCAATACCTGTATGGCCCTGAGGATGTCATATGGGTCGCAGCATTATGCTGATTGGGTCGCAAGTGGCCCACAAGCCACAGATTGAGAACCACTGCTCTAGAGATTCCCAGACAAACCACTTAACACTGTTTGTTCCAAAAATCCATTCTTGTCTGGCACATTTTTCAATATAGTCCTTTGAAGTTCATAACACTTCCTAAAGTTCATATCACCTCTCCCTTCTGGAGAGGTTACATATAATCCTGGCCTACGATACATAACCTTTGCATTTAGTACAATGGACTCTGAAGATACTTCTTCCTCCTTACCTCAGTTATTTAGGACTTAGAAATGTGTGAAAAAAACTACAATCTAATTGTTACCTTGATTCTCACATTGTGCCTGCCCTACATTGTGTAACTGATAGGTTCAGTTCGATCTTGAATGGGGGAGGGGGTGTCTGAGCTCCAGATTGCCAGTGGGATCAGCTGAACTCAGATGTAAGAAATATTGAGCATGGTGGAAGAACCAAGCAATTAAATTCATTTTATTTGTAGATTATAATGGGGTAATAGATGTGATCCCATTTCCCTTGGCAGTTGTCCTGATCTCATTTATCCTCTTGGAAACCATATTTCTGCTTCAATAAGCAAACATACCCTTAACTTACTTACCCTTAACTATGTGAACATCAGCAAATGTCCAAATTTAGGTGGAAATATAAATCCTTCTGCAAAATATTCCTATTCTCTTAGTCAGCATTGTATAGGTATGCACAACATTGAGAATGGAAAGGAGGGTTGGTGATAGACCAAATGCATTTTTCAGGATTTTTTCCCCAAAAGAGTAGAATTACACTGAAGTCCAGATATTAAACGCCTTCGGGAACTTTTCCTATTGGTACTTATTATCTGGCTTGTAATTTTACCTTTTCTGCTGCTTCTGATGCTGAATGGTGTAACTTTAACTCCTAATTCTGTCTTATGACTTTTCTATACAGAAAAACCAACCACATGCTTTTGGTATAATAAAATGACTTTTAGTTTAAATTTGTGAAAACAAAACACAAGAATGAAAATAAAGTCTCTATGAGAGAGAGAGCAGTGTGTGTCTCTCGATCAGCTACTGTTTTTGAAGACAGATAGATTTCTTATAATTTAAAGGGCAATCCCCAGTAATTGACGGCATCACAGTTGCATATGCCATATACCCCCCCATTTCAAAACTAAGCATCTAAACCTTGTCAAATAAACTTAATATTAATGCATAAGAAAATCTATTTGATTGTCATATTTAATTTGACTTAACAATACAAAAATATACATCCAAAACTCTAGGTGCCCGTGTGATCAATTAAAAATATAATTTTAATTTTAAAAGGCCCTGATTTTCAGACGTGCTGAGAACTCACAAATCAAGACTTGCAACTGAAATCTATGGAAGCTGCAGGTGTTGCAGGTTCAACGGAACTGGAGAGACTGCTAGAAAGCCTAGTGATCTGTGACCTACCCTTCCACCACCATTTTCGCTTGTAACAATACTTGAAACTATATTTCTTGAAGTGTGTTTAACAGGATTTAAAAGTATTTCATGATAAAATGATTTGATCATGGGGCAGCCAACCAATAGAAATGGAGCTAAGCTGAATTAAAGCCATTAAAAAAACAAATGAACAAATACCATGTTGAAGTAGTTTTCTGATGAACTGGTGATGAACCACACTCCTAGCTTGCAGTGTAGATATAGTTATGTTGTAACAATGATCCAGAAACATTTAATAAATTGGAAATAATATTATGAATGTTCTGCAAAGTCAAATAGCAATTAAAACTGGCTGGGAGCATCTGACTGGTAATGAAAAAATGGCAGAAGCTCCTGGTTCATATGCATAAAAATGAGAACAAAGCATTACGCTAAAATAACTTGTTATTTGCTTTAATTTTTTCAAGATGAAATGTTGGTAAATAATTTGTTACTGGACTTTCATTTAGGTTGTGTTTAAAATTAATGTATTAACTTTAAAACTAATCACCATAATATACAAATCACTGAAACAAGCTAGATGTTAGATTGTAGAAGCGTCAATGCTTAACTACAGCATCCATTCTTTTGCTTATACACCTCTACCCCGATATAATGCTGTCCTCGGGAGTCAAAAAATCTTACTGCGTTATAGGTGAAACCGCATTATATCAAACTTGCTTTGATCTGCCGGAGTGCGCAGCCCCCCCCCCCCCCGACGCGCTGCTTTACCGCGTTATATCCGAATTCATGTTATATCAGGCCACGTTATATCGGGGTAGAGGTGTACTGGCAGGACTGGCACTTTTCCTTAAGATACTGAGCAGGTGAGTAAGGGGGCATAAGTGACTGCCCTATGCAGCCTGCTCAATTCACCACTCTGTGTGTGGGGCTGAAAGTAGATTCTAGTCATCCCTCTCCCCAAGCAGGTGAGTAAAATTGGTTATAGAGAAGTGGGGAATGGGTGGAATCAAGGCTTTACTCCTCTCTCCCAAGCACTGGCTAGCAGAGCTGAGTTAGTTTGATGTGGGAAGTATACTGTGTTCTGTAGATGACTGTAGCAAAGAAGTAATGGGGACAGACCATCCTTGTGCTGCTCTTGGAGTTGGGACTGCTATATGTCACTCCTTAAGCAAATGTCAATTTTCTTAAGAGATATAGGATGAAGTCTTGAGGTCTTTAGTTTTGTTTTATTCTTTTCTTACGCAGACAAATTCTGAGATTTTGCTTGAGCAAAAAGCTTAATAAGGGCGTCACAGTTTGGGCAGAAAAGTAAAGTGGAATCTACAGTCTGGCTTCTGATGTGCTCATGGTTCTAAAGATTTTCTAATTTATTGGACATATGTGTTTGTTATATTTACAACTAATATTCACTTCTCCTTATCTGTTTTAGGTGTGAAATTAGATTAAGAATCGAAACATGAATCTAGACTCTGTCCATAAATTATCTGACAAGACACAGATTTTCAAGACCCAACAAAGACAGTCTTATGAACTAGATGAAGGTAGCAAAGCAACAGGTAACCTCTGTAACTCAAGTTTACCATCTCAAAGGCTCCATCCATACTCCTCTCACCATCCGTGTATGCATATTAGTAACAACAATGACTGGGAGATTTCTGAAGAGCTCCGACTTCGGGAGCTGGAAGAAGTTAAGGCTAGAGCTGCCCAAATGGAGAAGACCATGCGCTGGTGGTCAGACTGCACTGCCAACTGGCGGGAGAAATGGAGCAAAGTTAGAATAGAAAGGAATAAAGCCCGGGAGGAAGGGAGACAATTGAGAATCAAACTGGAGACCACAATGAAGGAACTGAGTGCACTGAAAAAGCTAAACCAAGACTTACTAATTGAAAAGGAAGAGTGGGAAACTGAAGTTAGTTGGAAAAAGAAACTCAATTTCTCAGATATGCCCTGTATGACAGAAAAGGAGTACCAGTTAGTGTGTCTGGAACAAAAACCTGTTAAAGATGTGATCAAGAACAAAATCCTTGTGGTACAAGAAATGCATAAGGTAAAGGGAACTATACGTTTGTATGTTCTGAAATCTGCATTTTTATCAAGTCTACATAAGGTCCACTTTTCTATGCTTCATGGTAACACTGTACATGTATGCCTGTCTCCACTCCTAAAATTTCAGTACATAATGCTCTAGTTATATAGAAACTATATATAAACTAGAAGACCAATTTGCATTATCACTCGTATATAAACAGTTGCCATGGGGGCAGTTAATGAGCTGATAATTTGGGCTCCCCTGTGACTTGTATATCTTTCCCCCTTCAAAAAGCAATGTAGGTTTTCTTGAGTCCAGTCATTAAAGTCTTTACTGGTATATGGACACAGGTAGAACTGAAAATGAGTGGACGCTATTTACATAGTCCTGGTCTTCCAAAATTCTTCCTGCCCTTCACAGTTAATTCTAGTGAATAACTTTGAGTTCCTTGAGGGAGGGGGGGACATCCCCTTCCTGCAGAATAGGAGTATTTTTAAAGAGCCAGGACTGTAGTTATGTTGTTTCTTGGTAATATAGAATCAGAAGGTGGCTATGGACTCTTAATGAGTGGAATAGTTTGGTGCAACTTTTCCAGCTCTACAGTTGCCTTTTTTAAAAGAAAGGAACTAGTTTTAGCAAATGGAACTGTACCCTCTTCCTTTGTCAGTATTCATTCCAGCACTGGATATATATTATATACCCATCGTAAACAGCATCACCTATAACCTGTATTGACTATAGGCATGATTCAAAGCCCGCCCAACTCAAAGTTTACAATGACGTGAATAGACTATGAGTCAGGGCCTTCAGCATGTGCATCTTTTGTTAGAATTTCCACTGACACTGCTGTGAGGTGAGCTACAGTATGTACTGTGACCCTGAATAGACATTGTACTGGCACTTGAGAATCAACCTGTAAAAAGATTGACCTATTATACATTTCATTGTGCATTTCTTCTGTATGCACACTCAAAGAAGGGGCTTAGATATGGAGCCAAATTCTCTGCTGATGTAATTCCTTTTATTTCAGTGGAGTTATTCCAGTAGAGAATTTTGGCCTCAAGTTTACTATGAACTCTTAAGATTTTTGCAACAATTGGAAAATTATATTTGTACCTTATTCAGAAGGACTAGCCAGTGATTGGATTCTAATGTGTTGGGCAGAGTTTCCTGCTAGTTCACTAGGCTTAATGAAAATGTTGTGCTGTTTTATGATTTGTCCAGGTATTATTATTATTATTATTATTATTATCATCATCATCCAACTTTTTATCAGGCTGATCTTGACGAGTGGTCACATCATGTAACTAAGATATTTTTAATTTAAGAAGAAATGTGTTGAATTAAATACAAAACACTATGTTCCCTCTTAAAACTATATTTGCAATATTGATTTTAAAATGAACTAATTTAATTAGACAAGGTGATTATTCAAGGTATACACATTGGTCTTTGAATCTATGTATTTAATCTCCATTGACATCCATAAAAAGTATAGTAATTCTCTTGACTTTACTATTACACATACACACTATGATCCGTGCATCTATCTTTGTTATAGAAGACAACTACAGTCTTTTTTTTTGTTATTCATAAAGACTGTCATCAACCATCGAGATGTGCAGCTAACAGCTCCCAAAACACAACAGCACATAGCACCATGAGAAAAATCTGGTGCTCACGGTCAAGAAAGTTAATATCTTGTAAGAGCTCAAAGTTGACATCCCGAACTTTCTCCCAGTGACTCGAGAGATTTTCAAAACATAAGAAGCTCGACCAGCAGCCTGAGGGTTTGTTTGAAGTAAAGAAAATTCAATACTTCCACCAATAGAAAGGTTTTTCTCAGGATTACTATTCACATTCAGCATCCCAGCCTCTGTAATTTTGGTTTCCTTCTCAACCCTATGGATTGGTGTTTCATTTGAAGTGAGTGTGTCAAGTTCTTGTATCATCTGGTTAATTGCATTAATGGATGAAGCTATCTTGCCAGAAGGCCTATTATTGTAATGGTCTGCAGTTATACCCACTTCACCAGTTATTTTACCATGCTTCTTCTGTGCATCTGTAAAGGTAAACGATTCTTGGAAAGCTGAACTTGTTAGCGGTGGCTTTTCACTCGTCACCAAAACATTTGTAGCTGTTTAGTGTTTCTGCAGACACCATTTCTTTATTGGTAACAGTACTGGGATTCACAGCACTCAGTATTTGTTGTTTAGCAATCCTATTTAAAACTCAAAAACACTGAAATACAGCAGGGCTGCCATGCAGGGGCCCCCACGAGAATGTCGGAGACTCCCCTCTGCCTCCCTCATCCCCCAGTGCCTCAGTGCGCCACGTCCTGGAGTGGCCCTGGACAGAGCTAAAGCCGCATGGCTCCAGTGGGATCTGAGCTCCTCCCGCTCAGAGCTGCATGGTAAGGGGGCGGGGCTGCGAGCTGCAGCTGAGCGGTGGGAACTCAGGTCCCACTGGAGCCACGCTGCTGAAGCGCTGTCCAGGGCCGCTCCTGGATGCGGCACGCTGAAGCTCCGGGAGAGTGGGGAGGCGGGGGTAAGCGGCATGGTAAGGGGGCCAGGGCCGGGGGGGGTTGGATAAGGGGCAGGGAGTCCCAGGGACAGTCAGGGGATAGAGAGGGGGCAGAGGTTTGGGGGGGGGGCGGTCAGGGGACAGGGAACGGGGGATTGGATCATGGGCGTTCCGGGGATCTGTCAGGACTCAGCGGGGAGGTGGATAGGGGTCGGGGCAGTCAGGGGACAGGGAGCAGGGGGGATTCGTGGGCAATATCCTACACACTTTTTTATATATTTAACACTATTATAAATGCTGGAGGCAAAGCAGGATTTGAGTTGGAGGCTGACAGCTCACAACCCCCAATAATAACCTCGTGACCCCCTGAGGGGTCCCGGGTTAATTTAATTTTAGCAATTTAATTTAATTTAATTCACATGCATGTGCTATTTTGAGCATTTCAGTTTTCACAACATAGGCTCATACCAGATTCTGGAACAAGTTCAAATGCTCAGTTTGTGGAGTATGTACATAAACTATACTAAAGACAAACCCACAGTAACCGTCTCCAGTTTGTGAGGGACCCCATGGAGCCAATCTCTAGGAAACAGATAAATTCATGGAGGTTAAGTCCATTAATGGCTATTAGCCAGGATAGGTAAGGAATGGTGTCCCTAGCCTCTGTCAGAGGGTGGAGATGGATGGCAGGAGACATCACTTGATCATTACCTGTTAGGTTCACTCCCTCTGGGGCACTTGGCATTGGCCACTGTCGGTAAACAGGATACTGGGCTGGATGGACCTTTGGTCTGACCATTCTTATGTTCTAACCTAAATTAACCCAAAGTTATGGAGACAGATATGAGTCAAGGAAGCCAGCAGAGTATCAGAAACCTGGAAAAATCTCTGACTGGATGGGCTCAGGCGTTTGGTCACAAGCTGAGGTGGTTCAAAAGTTTTGGATTATTTTTAAGCAGAATTTTTTTATTGTTTCTTTAAACAATCAAACACAGCAAGCAGCAAATATTTGGCCACACACTTCTGAAACCCCAAACCATGTTCAGGTTTTGGCAGACTAATTTCAACTTTTCAATTAAAAAAATTCACAACAAATTTTGAAGGAAAGCAGACCTTGTCCGTGATTTTTTTCTGCTTTTTAAAAACCCCTAGTTTTCGATCCAAAAAAAGTTTTGATGGAAAATATTTGTCCAACCCTTTTAATGAGTTTTAATGCCTTTTAGCACTAGCTGATGCTGAGAACCAGTGATAACTTCTTTTCAAATCACCTTTACAAGGTTTCTCAAAACTGGGTTTGTGCTGAGATGCGGAAGGTTTTTAAATGTTTATTTTTCCCAGGGCTGCCCCGGGGGTAGGGAGGAGGGGGCAAGTGGGGCATTTTGCCCCAAGCCCCACAGGGGCCCCCACGAAAATATAGTATTCTATAGTATTGCAACTTTTTTTTGGAAGGGGCCCCTGAAATTGCTTTGCCCCAGGCCCCCTGAATCCTCCGGGTGGCCCTGTAATACAGAATTCAAATCAATGAAAACCCAAACAGTATTTTCTGTTTATAGTCCAGTGGTGAAACTCTGGTCCTAGAGATTTTCCACTGACTTCAACAGGGCCAGAACTTCACCCTCAGTCGCAAATTCTACACAGATGTATGTTATTAACTGTTTGTCAGAGTGACTAAAATGTGTAATCTACAGGGCCTAAAGGAGGGAATGACACAAATATATTTTAACTGATGAAGGATAATGTGCCAGCTGCTTTATAGTTTCAGTTTGTTAAAAATTGCCTGGGAATATCCATTTACCTAATTTACAGTATCTTTTATAATATAATTTTCATGCATCATGTTAAAAAGTTTTGATAATGTCAGATGAACAGAGTTGTCAGGAACAGTATAGAGATTTATTGAGAGAAAGTGAATTAGTTTATAACTAATTGGAGGAAACACAATTTATTGTATTTCTGAAGTTAGCTGGATTTCTCTTGGGACAACTTCAATTTACTTAATTATGGATTAAATTTGGTTCCCACAATTCTTCATGCAAAATCATTTGCCTTCGCAAAACAGAAATCTATTTAGGCATAAACTCTTTTCCCTTCCCCTACACCATTTCTGTCCCCACAGAAAAAAACCCAGTGGACATCAATGGGATTTGGATTAGACTCTTCAGGGTCAGATGTGGGACCTTTTGAAAATGCTAGTTGAGAAGAATATTTCAATGCCTGAGAGAAACAGATCCTTGGCTTCTCACCACGCTGGTTGGACACACCTTTTTTGGGGGTGTAGAGTGCCATCAGCCACACTAGCTGATCATCATGGTGGTCAGGGGCATTATTGACCACATTCTATGTGCAAGATGTGTGATTCTTCCTTCGTTGTGGCTGTACATGTTTGAACAGCATGACAGTCCTTGTAGACTTCATTATGAGATGACTGTTCCTAACATATGTTTGTATTTTCTGGCTTAGGATGTTTTGTTCTTATGTTTTTTTCTCAGGATGTGGAGACCACTGAAAACACATTAAGAAAGAACCAGGGTACAAGATTCAATCTGAGGCTTACTGACTCCTTTGCCCCTGGCATTGGTCTGGAAAAGCCTAGACAAAGGCTCGACAACGTAGTCCATCCTCCAGAGAATGAATTAATACATGTTTCTGCTTTGCATTTGCAATTGGATGAGTCACAGAAAATCTTACAGAAGGAAAGAGAGTAAGTGCAAAATTGATTCTCCCTAGAGCAAGTTACTTAAATAAATAAAACCAGTGTTCTAAAATGGTCACATGACCATTAATTTCTGGTAAGAGGCATATATTTAAATATTTTAGGAGGAACAAACTTAGTATAAGGATGTTTGTTTCATGTTGACAAAATATTTCTGCGTTTTGTGAAGATTTCCTCAATATTTCGGAAGTATGGTGTCATATACTTGAGACTCTATATGGCTATCTGTAAAAATGTGAAGTTGGAATTGGCCAAGGATGCTTGCTTGCTATTTGATATCAGTATTACTGTACCTGGTCTTCGGTATGTTGTTACCAGAATGTATTCTCCATAGCATTACACTTGGAAGCTTCAGCTAGTGCCAGGGCCGGCTCCAGGCACCAGCCAACCAAGCTCGTGCTTGGGGCGGCACCTGGTAAGGGGCGGCCAATCTTGGAGTGGCAGGGGGGCAGTGCGGCGCAGTGCTTGGCGGGGGTTCAGCAGCTCAGCGGGGGTGTTCGGCGGCGCGGCGCTCCACAGGGAGGGGTTTGGCAGCGCTCCGCACGGGGGGTGTTCAGCAGCGTGGCGCTCCGCGGGAGTTTCGGCATTGCTCCGCGCGGGGGGCTTCAGCAGTGCAGTGCTCCGCAGGGGGAGGGGGGCATTCGGCGGCGCTCAGCGGGGGTTCAGCAGCTCGGCAGGGGTTCAGCAGCTCGGTGGGGTGTGTTTGGCAGCGCGGCGGGGGCGGGGGCTGTTCGGCGGCGCTCGGCGGGGGGTTTTGGCGGCGCAGCACTCGGTGGGGGGGGGGTTCGGCAGGGCGGGGCGGTGCTTGGGGGAGGTGTTACGGCGGGGCGGCACTTTTGTTTGCTGCTTGGGGCGGCAAAAAAGTTAGAGCCGGCCCTGGTTAATGTAGAATGACTCCATGTGTGCTCAATGGTGAGGGGCTTTGGGTTGAAAGGTGCTACACAGATACGAAGTATTAATAGTATTATCTATACACCTCAAAATAAGCTCCATCTAGGAACTGGATAATTTAAGACTAGAAAAAGAATACAGAGCCTTCCTTTCACGGCATTCGGAATAGGCAATAAAATGCAGACGAAATTCAATGTTGATAAATGCGAAGTAATGCACATTGTAAAACATAAGCCCAACTACACATACAAAATGTTTGATTCTAAATTAGCTGTTACCACTCAAGAAAGAGATCTTGGAGTCATTGTGGATAGTTCCTCTGAAAACATCCAATCAATGTGCAGCGACAGTCAAAAAAGCTAACAGAATTTTGGAAATCATTAGGTAAGGATAGATAATAAGACAGAAAATATCATATTGCCTCTATGTAAATCCATGGTATACCCACATTTTGAATACTGCGTGCAGATGTGGTTGCTCCATCTCAAAAAAGATGCATTGGAATTGAAAAAGTTCAGAAAAGGGCAACAAATGAATAGGGGTTTGGAACAGCTTCCCTATGAGGAGAGATTAATAAGACAGGGACTTTTCACCTTGGAAAAGAGACGATTAAGGAGGGATATGATAGAGGTCTATAAAATCATGACTGGTGTAGAAAAAGTAAATAAGGAAGTGTTATTTACTCCTTCTCATAACACAAGAACCTAGGGGTCACCAAATGAAATTAATAGGCAGCAGGTTTAAAACAAACAAAAGGATGTATTTATTCACACAACGCACAGTCAACCTATGGAACTCTTTGCCAGAGAATGTTTTGAAGTCCAAGACTATAACAGGATTCAAAAAAGAGATATATAAGTTCCTGGAGGATAGGTCCCCCAATGGCTATTAGCCAGGCTGGGCAGGGATGCAAAACCATGCTCTGAAGTGTCCCTAGCCTCCGTTTGCCAGAAGCTGGGAATGGGCGACAGGGGATGGATCACTTGATGATTCCCTGTTCTGCTCATTCCCTCTGAAGCACCTAGCATTGGTCACTGTCAGAAAACTGGATACTGGGCTAGATGAACCATTGGTCCGACCCAGTATGACCATTCTTATGTTTGGTTAAGATAAGTAGTGAATGTCTGGTATCTGTTTGGTGCTCTGAAGGAAGAGACTTGGTGATCTCATTCTAGCTGGTAAGAGACAGGTGTCTGCATCAGAGCCATTACTGGGAATAAGGGATTAGCTGATCGTCCCTATGGGACGTCAGTCTAGAAAAAGGATTGAGAAACATTGATTGGGTCTTGCAAGAAAACTTGCAGTGTGTGCTGTGCCCATGAAGTCAGAAGACTTCAGTCACCAGAACTGTTGTTCCAATAAGAACTTAAGTTAACTGAAAAAGGAAAAAGAAGAAAATTTCCCCTCCTCAACAACAGCAGAAGTAGATTAAACAATTTCAGTACAAAGAATTAGCAACACTTGGCTATGATGGAGCAATGTTTTCCATTATTACTTTTTTTTTTGGTCAACTATCTTGTGGATATTGTGAGTCTGTGGATGTGTTTTGTTTATGGATCAGTTTTGGCATGCAATCAGTGCAAGACTATCACACAGCTATTCCCCCCCCCCCCCATAATAACAGAATGTTTCTAAAGGTTATAGTGACTGTATTTTCTGTATAAATCTGTCTGCTCTCTTAAACTCACCACAGCTCTGTAAGTGGGTGGCTGATGTTAGCAGTCACAAGAAAATAGTATGTCTTTCAAATGCCTAACAAAACCATTGTGTGCTAATAGTTTTAAGACTCTAATAGTTTTAAAGTAAGTGCAACCTGTTGAAAATGTTAAAGTTCTTGCAAGTTTCATTGTGTCCCCAACTGGGCATGCAGTTAACAATCTTAATAGTGCAACAGAGCCTGCCCTGCGATCTCTAGCAGTTTCTTAGATCCAACACTATGGTGTGCTGAATGCCTCTTGTATGTGATAGGTACCTCAACTCCCATTGATTCCATTGGGAGTTAAAGGTATTCAGAACCTAGCATGAGGCACTTAGTACTCCCCTAGCAGAGATAGAAAAATAAACTGGGAATCAGGAGACCCAGTTTCTATTCTTGGCTCTGCTATTTGATCTGCAGTTTAACCTTGGGTAAGTCACTTCACTTTTCTATGCCTGTATTTTCCCCTCACACTCTTTATCTGCCTTATTTATTTAGATTGCAAACTCTTCAGGGCAAGGACTGCCTCTTATGTGTTTTTGTACAGTTTCTAGGCCAATGGAACAACAGGCTCAATGGGAGCCTCTGAGTACTGGTCCTACTGTAACACAAATAATACATTAGTACTTCATATCCTCATCATGCCATTTGTAAGCACAGTATACAGGAAAACTCCACTTTCCAATGATATTATCTACATAGCCGTTTAATATGTACATTTGATACAACTACCCAAATAGAGCATTTTACACTCATTAGAAGTTCCTTCTTTAATTTACAGTTTCATCCTTTTGCTGTCCAGTGTTAAATGTCCTTTCTGTTTTGTTAATTCACTTTCACTTCTCCTGTACAGTCAGGATCACACTTCCCATTATACATTGTAAAGGTGTGAATTCATCTCTTTAGCTGTCCTGTGCTTCACTGTCTGCTGTTTTTCATGGTTACTAATCAGCCTGGTATCATTATTTTAGCCTTGACTATGCTAATGATGGGTTCAATTTTCTCATCCTGTTCAACTGTAATTTATTATTGCTGGTCATGATGGCCTATGAGAGTAATATTACTTTCTTCAGACTATCAACTATTCTCTGAATTAAAAAAAAATTAAAAAATCAAATTGTGTTTTCTAAATGATATCCAAACTACTGCTTCCTGGCAGAAAACTCGACCTCATTATTGAGAAAAGGGGTGAGACAATGTTATTTATTGGTTGTATTACCATAGCATTTAGAAGCCTTAGTCATGGACCAGGACCCCATTGGGCTAGGCACAGACACAGAATAAAAAGATGCTCCTTACGCAAAGAGCCTACTATCTCAGGATAAGACAAGAGACAACAGATGGATATAGATAGATAAGGAAGTACAAGGAAACAATGAGACAGTATTGGTAAGCATGATAGTCAGTGGTATCAGCGCAGCAGTGCACTAACTGTTGTCAAGTTTTTGAAGGCATTGTGGCAAAAAAGTTTTCTTACCCCCAACTTTATTTAACACCACTGCCAGTCTATAGTAATGGGTGTCTGTGCTATCTGGCACTTGATCACCATATAGCAGGAAGAAAAGCACTTAGAGTTTATAAGATCTGTTTAGGTTTAGTACTTTGGTCAACTAAGCTCATTACAAATCTATCTTTCAGCATGGGTTCATAACAAAATGTTTATAAAATGTGGCTCTAGTCAAAACAATCTTATCACATGAATGTTGCCATTTGTCAAATGCTTGGTAGATTATCAAAGGCATTCCTATGGCATAGAATTGTTATTCCTAGCAGATGTCTTTGAGGTTTCTTTTCTTTTAAACTATTCCACTTGTCTGGTTTTCTAGTCCTTCTTTGTCCCTTGTGCTTTACAAAGCACCTCCTATTACACCTCTACTACAATATAACGTGACCCAATATAACACAAATTTGGATATAACGCGGTAAAGCAGCCCTCCGGGGGGCGGGGCTGCGCACTCTGGCGGATCAAAACAAGTTCGATATTACGTGGTTTCACCTATAACGCGGTAAGATTTTTTGGCTCCTGAGGACAGTGTTATATCATGGTAGAGGTGTATAATAAACACTTTCAAAAACTAATAAGACTAAAATAACATCAACACTTTATCTTAAATGTTTGGACATCTTCGTCCTCCTGTTTTAAAAGTCTCCTGCTACCAGACTAAGATGTAGTTTATAATCTAATGGAATACATCTAGACTTTATGATGCTGACCTGATTTCATAATACTGTTGCGATTATGATCCAAGTGACTTTATGTGTAATACCCTTTGTCTAATTGCCATTTTCTAACAATGAGTAATGACCCACCTCAAAGGTCCCAGAGCCCAGGCTGCAGCCAGAGCCTAAATGTCTACACAGCAATTAAACACCCTTTAGCCTGAGTCCTGTGAGACCAAGTCAGCTGGCTCAGGCCAGCCGTGGGTGTATAATTGCAGTGTAGACAAATCCTGTGTGGTGCTCTCTGCTGTTCTAAATCATATTTCTTTAGTTCTCTGGATAATGGTAGAAATTAATTCTTTAATTGTTTTGAATAAAGGGTAAAGGTAGCAATGAGAGTTCATTATTTAAATACTACAGTACCTCTCTCTAAGGAATCAGATTGTTCTTCATGCATTGTGTAGTCTTAATATTTTCGTAGATATTGTCTTGGTTATAGGAGTAAGTAGAGCTTCATAACCATGTATCTTGTTGGAGGCAAATAAATATGAAAAGATGTCATCTTAATGAAGATGTAGTAGTACTTCTGAGATCAATACATCCCCATTTCCAAAATATTTCTAGCAGCTTCCTTCAGGAGCAAATAATATTTGAAATGGCTAGAGAATACAAACAAAATGTGAAAGCATTTCATTTGGGTTATTAATGTCTAAATTAGAACCTCTATGGTTTCCATTCTTATGGAACTGTGCATATGTTATGTATATGTCCCCTTCCAATACGCCTCTGACTGTACTTAGACAAAGTGAATAGGGTCTTTGAAAATTTCATCACAAACTACCCAATGTAAAGGTCAGAAAGAAACAACTCTAACAAAAAAGCCTAGTGTTCAAATTGCAATCCTGAGAACTCTATTCAAATCTAATTATTTTATGGCTTCCAGAGTACACTGAGTAAGGGAACCAGAGAAAAAGTATTCTGCATTCATCTGATTGAAATACCACAAACCATCCTGCTTGCAAAAGCCCATTATCATAACTCTGTCAGCCTAGACCCTGACATTGGGGACAGTACAAACCGATCACAGCTTTCTGCAGTCCGTGAGAGCTGTAGGAGGCTGGCAAAGTCTGAAAGAAGAGAACTTCTGGCTGGGAGAGAAGCATGGCCAGAGTAGCTGGGAATGTACTGATTCATACCTCCATTTAGAGTTTTCTATTGGTGGAGTACTTAGGGAACAGGCAGTGACATTTTAATGCTGCTTGCCTACCAGCCCTAGTGGAAATGGGACATGCCCTTCCTGGAAGTAAAAGTTCCAGGATTTTCATTTTGACAGAAGAATAGAAAAGGAGTGCTCATGCCATCTAGAAATGGTGGTATATCTAACCTTTTTTTTTTTTTTTTTTTTTAGCATTGAGGACTTTTTTCCAGGTGTTGAAAATGAACTGTACTGACTTCAGTGGAGCTAGGCTGATTTACACCAGTTGAGGACCTAGCGCTAGGAAACACAGAATAAAGAGGGAACTGAGAGAGAACTATTCCAAGAAAAAGTATAATTAGCTATAAACAATGTACAATAAATGCCCAGGGAAGATGAATGCTGTAAAAGGTAAAACAAAGCTCAAATAAAGTAGATCCCTGTATGGAGTGGGAAAGCAGCCTAGAGCAGGAAAAAGTGAAAACTTGGGAATGTACGATTAAGATAATCTAATGAAAGATAAAATTGGCCTTTTCCCTTGCTTTATACTCTATTCTATTGTTCAGATATTGCACCTATTCGTTACCTTTTCTCTGATGGTCTTTGCCATCACATGGTATATTGGGTCAACTGATTCTGGTCAAAGTCAATTTCCAAGTCTCCTTTGGTTTAGCATTGCATTTCATGCATATTTCACATTGTTAGATTGTTTTGGTTCCTTCTCCTCACTTTGGTGAATCTCTTTGGCTAATTCTTTGAACATCATAAAAGTAATAGAAACATGTAATTTAAAAAACAAAAACAAAACAAAACACTCTGTTTAAATCCAGCAAAGCAAGACAGTTTAGAAACAATACAAAAGCTATTCAGAATCAGCTTTGTTATCTTAAAGATTTGTTTTAATGATGATTGTTAAAACATTTTTATAGAATGCATTTTTTCCTGGAAAAAGAAGTAGAGAAGCTGGACTCCGATCTCTCTCAGTGGAAATGGAAATATGAAGAAATGCGACAGTCCAAGCTGGAGAGCCTGAAACAGGTACGTTGGCAAAAAAACAAACAAAATACTACTGCTGGGGAACAGAGAGCAAAACAGGCTTTTTTCCCCCTGACTAACTAAAAACAAAACAGAAAAATGAGTCTGTGAAACTGATAAACAAGTAATTCTGGACTGTAGCAGATGCATGCCCTAGAGGAAACAATATTTTCTGCATTTGACAGAAAATGTGAGTCACCATTCTCACCCTCATTCAGAGCCCATGTGCAGAGACTGACCAAACTACTGAGCCAAATTACATCATACAAGCATATTATATAGTAGTTTCATTTGGACTAATTGTTTCAAACCATCCATGGTTTATGACCTAAATGGAAACTGCTTTTTTAAAAAAGTTGCTGAGTCCTGATAACTCTCATAAAATTCATTGAAATTCGTGGGTATTCTGAAAACCAGGTCACTTCTATTTAGGTGTCAAAACATTGGAATGTAACTTTCGGCACCCAGGTTTGGAACATACGGTTAAAGCGTTTACACTTTCTTTGCCTCTATTGTGCACAAGACACCAAGAATTTTTAGTTTTTTTTTAATTCAATTACAGAGATTCTCAAACATTTAGATTGTCAATTGCTATTACTTAGATTACATTTTTTTTAAATTAGCATACATATATAAACTCAGCAGGGAATGCACTATAGCAATGTTTGAATTGAATCCTCTAAATTTTACACATTTTACTTTGTAGTCCCAGATCTTCTCTTGGTCTGTTATCTTAGGCTTCCTTTTAGATTTTGGTTTTTTTGCTCTCCTTAGTTGTTATGTAGGAAAATCCGTCCTGATTAAATGCAAACTATTCAACTGGTCCATCATACCTCTGTGATTAAAATATGAAGCAGATGTTTTGGTAAATTATTTTGCCCTGAGGTTTTGATCACTGCTGGGGAGAAGGGAACAATAAAAATTGATATATGGATAAGAGACAACTATCATGCAGTCTCCAACTGAAAATCATCTTTGAGTTCTTAGTTGGATACATGTTGAAAAGAAAAAACTAATTTTAACATGAGATGTTGATTTTGATGCAATACATGATATTGAACAAACACATACACAGAATATATTTGTATTTAACTGTGAACAGAAGATAACTTTTTGGATATTCTGCACATCTTGGGAGTTTTCTAGGGCTGTGATTTATTTAGTTTTTAATGTTACAGGGAAAACACTGGTTTTAGTAAAACTGATTAATTTGAATGAAATTACCACCATACTATCTATTTTGTAAGTGAAAATCCTCCATATTTTAAAATGCACAAATCTTGTGAGTGGGCAAATGTTATTTGTTATATGTCAGTGTTAAGAAAAAATATTCAACTACTCTTACAAGCTTCTTGATAACAAAGCTTATCTCTCTTGAGAAATCATCATAATAGAAAAAAATGTAACAATAAATCTATGATCTGTTTTCCCCAAATAGATATGATATCATAGCTATAGAATAGGGCATTGGTAAAATGCAGCTTCTTAGACATTGAACTGCAGCTACATTTCAGCTGGAGCTGCCAAATTTCTCTGTTTCAAATAAAATTTAGATATCAACTTTTCAAAGACAAATTGCTGGATTTCTATCAGTTCAGGAAACAATATGCTAACTGTCCTTGAAAATTCCTGTTTAATTAAAAAAAATCCACATCACACTAGATAGTATTGGCAGGTTGAGAGTCATACTACTTAGCTCGCAAAATACCCATTTAAATGTTACTTAATAAAAGGTATTTTTGAACTGACACCATCATTTTATCTATATATGTACTCTATTTTCAGACTATGTTACAAAGCTGAATTTTTGCTAGCTCTAGGGAAGTGAATGTAACCATGCACTTCTGTTACTAGCTTTTTGTGTTTTGTGTTTGACTGTAGTCAGTGGTGAGCTGGAGCCGGTTCACAAGAACCGGTTGTTAAATTTAGAAACCAGTGTAGAACTCATGGATAAAACAGAAAAGGTCTTTAGTATCCTTCTGATATACTAAAAGTATGTTGAGAGGTTCTTATCTATCTGCATTACGGATTCACCAGCTTCTAGATTTGCTGTACCGGGACCAGCAATGTTAATGCAACTATGCATGAAGGAGACATATGTTGAACCTAGTCTTCTCACTGGTCTTGGTTATCTGCAGGGTCGTTATTGTCCTTATGGGGATTAGAGGATCATTCATTATAGTGTAGAGTTCAACACTGGGGATAAAACAAATTCCTTTCAACTAACCATACCTAATAAATGTTGCCCATTATATCATGCGGGATTTGGAGAAATGCTAACACTCAGATTCAAGCACAGCCCTTTTCAAGGATACTCCTAGAGTAATGAACTCTATATTCCAATGGATTCTTGCTGTACCCTTTACTCTGAGAGTACAATGGTTCTTATCTAAGTGATCGTGTGGAGATAATATTTCACAGAATTAACAACCTTATTTCTCTTGCCAAACCTTCTTCAGAACAGTGGATGATCTTAGTTTTTCAGTGTCAATGCCTCTGAAGATAGCAATTAGTAGCAATGTGATTAGTTCTGCTCATTTTTTGGAAGAACAAGAATTTGGTCAGGTTTGATAAGCTAAGAGGTATTAAGTAAAGGAGCACAGAAACTTCAGAATTGCCATACTAGAATACAGCAGTAGTGCAGTAAATGCAGCACTCTGTCTTAGAAAAAGCATATTACCACATCCTAAAAATGAAGAGGAAAATCTTTGGGTCTTTTTTTTTTAAGACTTCACTCACCTCAAATGTATTTGGAAACTATAAACTAGTGTCTAACTAGGAAAAAATCCTAGAAAAAGTGATGATATGTACATAATGACGCTATCCCAGGTTCTAGTATGAGTTCGCACAGCATCGTATGTGTCCTGTTCAGTCATAAGGAAGAGAGATAGTATATATAGTTGTTACAGCAGGGAACTGGCAGTTAAGAGGCCTGAGTTCGACACCTAAATCTACTTCCAACTCACAATGTGAAATTATACAAGTCATTTTATATTGCCGTGCCTTGTATCACAAGGTTCACTTACAATTGGGCACCGCCTTGGGGCTGAGTCTGGGGATTGATTCCACTCAGGTCTGATGCCTCCCCTTCAGACAGATTGCTCATGGCCCATGCCTCATCGGTCTCAGGACTCGCAGTGCTCCCTCTTTGTGACTCAGCCCTCCAGCCAGGTCATTGTAGAGACCTCCCCTTCAGGGGTATCAAAGTCCCACTGGGTCAGCTTTCTGCATGCCATTCCAGACAGTCTTCTGCTCCAAGGCCAAGTCCTATGCTAGTTCCTCAGCAGCCGGGAACCTGGGCCTGCCCACTACTCCAGGTTCCAGCCCGGGGATTCTTTGTCTAGCAGCCATGATCTGCTTGAAGTTTTTTTTTCTCTTAATTAATTGGCCTCTCAGAGTTGGTAAGACAACTCCCACCTGTTTATGCTCTCTGTATGTGTGTATATATATCTCCTCAATATATGTTCCATTCTATATGCATCCGAAGAAGTGGGCTGTAGTCCACGAAAGCTTATGCTCTAATAAATTTGTTAGTCTCTAAGGTGCCACAAGTACTCCTGTTCTTCTCCCAGCCTCTGTTGCTATTTCTCTGGACTCCTTCCTACTTCCCTTCTCTATCTCCTGGTACCTCCTCTAAATTTACCAGCCTAAACTCCCTCATCCTGGGGGTAACTGTACACTACTTATTTCTTTGGTTTCTTGCCAGACTCTGTAACCCCAAACACACCTCCCTTCTCTGAGGGAGTAACTGCAGACTACTTCCCCCAAAGCCCTTTTCTTCCTCTTCTTCAGGTTTGTGGCATAGCAGACTCACTTCCTGAGTCTATGACTGCCATACATTGTACTTAGTATCTTTTCCCTGACTTAGAGCAGTGTTTCCCAAACCTGGGATGCTGCTTGTTTAGGGAAAGCCCCTGGCGGGCTGGTTTGTTTACCTGCCGCGTCCGGAGGTCCTGCTGATCGCGGCTCCCACTGGCCGCGGTTCGCTGCTCCAGGCCAATGGGAGCTGCTGGAAGCGGTGGCCAGTACATCCTTTGGTCCGCGCCACTTCCTGCAGCCCCCATTGGCCTGGAGCAGCGAACCGTGGCCAGTGGGAGTCACAGTCGGCCGGACCTGCGGACGCGTCAGGTAAACAAACTGGTCTGGCCCGCCAGGGGCTTTCCCTAAACAAATGGCGTCCCAAGTTTGGGAAATACTGACTTAGAGTCTCTCACCTTTGCCCGTATTCTTAGAGAATTGCAGAAGAGCTTTTTTAAAATGGGCCCTGTTTTCCTACTTTTTTTTTGATAGATGTGGCAAGATTTTTTTATTCTTTTTTTACTTTAAGGCTGACTTTTCTATATAAATAACTCCTTTCATTGGTACAGTCTTTACAATCCCAAAAAATATGATCTATGGTTTCAGGAACCTTGCATGTTACACATAATCCATTTTCGTGCGTGTTAATTAGAAATAAATTACTGTTTAATCTACAATGCCCTGTTATAATTCTAAATAGAGCCACTTCGCTCTTCCTCCCAGAGCCTTGGATTATGTCAACATTGTCAACTGTAGGGCATACGTCTCAGAATTTTTTCCCATTTGTTTCATTTGCCAACAGTACTTGCCATTCCTTCCTTAGCTCATTTTTGATTAGGTGTTTAAATTCTTGTTTGCTTAAGGGAATTCCTAGGTTCATGATTAATAGCACTTTTTTGCCTATTTGTCAGTCAATTTGTTGCCTGCTATCCTTATATGTGCTGGGATCCATACTATTACTGTGGTTATATGCAATGGTGACAGTTCAGTTATTAGCAGTAATATTTCATTAAAGATACTGTCATTTCTGCTAGCAGACTTATCACTGTAAAATTGTCTGCAGCTCTGATAAGGAGTCTCACAGGTTGGCTACAGCAGCTAGCCACACATCTGAAGTCCAATTTAGTGCCAGTATAATCCCTGTTAGCTCAGCTGTAAAGACTGATACAAAGTTAGTTAGCATTATGGCTTTCTTGAGTCTGAGT